TCACTATATAGTCTAAATGGAGTGAAGGGGGGGGGGGAGTCATCAGCATGAATTCAATACATAAGGATAGCAGAAGGTGAGAGGAAGACATTGATACCGAAAACATTGCCAGTCAGTTATGTGAAGGAATTGCTACTACTACTACTAATAAATATAATAACAACAATAACATTGATTGTAACGTTAGTGGTTCTATTACTACTAGTGGTACTAGTAGCAGCTATGTGGTTGTAGTAGTATTGGTGATGATGATGGTGATGGTGATGATGATGATGAAAATGATGGTAATAGTAATGATGATCATCATAATTACTTTTATGATAATGATGATAATAATCATTATCATTTTTATAATGATGAAAACTATCATGATGATGATAACATCGCCAATATCATCATTAAAAATTACTATTACTATTACTGAGGATATACACGAGTCTCTGTCCAACACATTACAGTTCCCCCTAAAATTTCCAAGATCCAGCACCGCAAGCATGAACAAAAACAGTAACTCAGTGACAGGAATACACCACACGACCACGCTAACACACTACCACCTCCACTACCCGACTCTGTCACACTGAACTACAATGGGCTAGTCAGAGAGAGCACTTTTATCGGTTAAGACTGACGCATTCACCTGTCTCATGCATGATTCTGTTTGATTCGGTTTGAAGGTAGGTTTATGTGTTAATGTATTTCTTCTTCTTCTTCTTCTTTTTGATAATGGTCATTTATCTATTCAAGGCTAAACACCTGTTTATATGCTGGATACATGAATCTGTTTTCAAAGGCAGGTTGTGTTTGAATCTTTTTGTATTGATCTAAGTTATATTTCCTATATGTTATATATATTTTTTTATGACAACAGCAAACGGAGAACGCACATTCAGGTCAGTGTATAATAGATAGTTTTCTTCAATGATAGACAGTTATATTCCATTTCGTTTTATTATCATTGTAATTCAGTTTTTTTTATTTTATTGTGACACTGATTTTTTTTATATAATCATTGATGTCTAATACACGATTCCGTTAAAATGTTGATTGAGTGTCTAAATGTGAAATCAATTATTGCTTCATTGCACGATTGCTGATATATCCTCATATTTTGAAGTTGCAGAAATTTGCTATTCCTGGGTTGCGTTTCCCCGTTTCATGGGAATTTTTAATAAACAATCACTTAAAGGAAAAGGAAACTGGCAGTAAATAATAAAGCCTCATGAAATAGATATTGACATTTATCCGAAGCTAATGCCATTTGTCATGCGAATTTAGCCCCGCCCCCTATATGTCTACGACCAATCAAATCACGTTTGTTGTTGGATACAGTGTGGGCGTGGCAATGCGAAGGCCGCGGGAGAAAACTTGATATTAAATTGTTTTTTCTTTACTACTAATATATATATATTAAATATAGATAAATGTGTGTGTGTGTGTGTGTGTGTGTGTGTGCATAATTATATATACTTTCTTACTCTGTATTACACACACACACACACACACACACACACACACACACACACACACACACACACACATATAGATAGATAACTATATGCATACATATATATGTATTTACATTTATATTACGAATATTTATATTGCAATGTAATTTCTGGATAATAATGATAAGAGGTATTCGGGGCACACAATTATTATTAGCTTTACTAATGTACTAATCATTAGCCTAGCACCCAAATAGATAAGACCGAAAGATTATATTGAAATAGTTTATACACATATAGATGGTTTATGTTCAAAGTTACTAGAACTAGATGCAATTATTGAAAATAACAAACCAGATGTATATGCATTACTGAATTCAAACTGGATCTCTCCGTAGACGATGTAACATTAGGACTCAGAGACTACAATTTTTTTTTTTTTTTTAGAAAAGATAGGGCAAATGGAAATGAAGGGGGGGGGGGTAGCAATATTAACAAGGAAAGGAATTATTAAAAAGGAGAGTTTCAACAAGATCCCATAGTACTAAAGGCAATTGAGGTAGAAACATACAGAGTAAATATATTAATAACCAGTGTACATGCCACCTTATATATCGGTGTGGCATAAGAAAATTACCAAAAACTCATTCAATAAACATTAAAGATCCTGGAAGAAGTGCTACAACTTTCGGAAACTAAGGCAAAAGAAATTCTTGTAAAAGGGGATTTTAATAGCAAAACTGACTGGGAAAGTTTCGATCCCAGAGCTCAGCCAGATTCGTGGAATGCAAAATAACCAGAAGTCATAAATGAATTTTGTCTATTCCAGAACGCAGATCATAACAGGATAAGAGGGCTATATAGAACGTCAATGCTTGATCTAATATTTACAAAGCAAAAAGATGACATTAATGATATGAAGTACTGCCCTACTCTAGGAAAAAGTGATTATGTAGTACTTAAGTTGAAATACTGTCTGCTACAGGAAAAAAGTACGTAAGGAAAGTACAATTACAAGAGAGGTAATTATAGAAACCTTAAAGATTTCTTTGATGGCATAAACTAGGAAACCCTCCTGAACGAAGAGAACCTTGATATGCAACATTCTAAATTTTGCGAAGTTTATAAACAAGGAGTAGTAAAATTTGTATCAAGATTCGAAACTCAAGAAAGAAATGGTCAATATAGGTTCAGCAATAAATGTAAGAAAATGAAAGAAAACAAACAACTCCTCTCGAAAAGGTATGAACGGTATAAAGTAGGAAGAAATGAGTATACCCAAACCATGAGGGAGGCGAAATTAGACTTAGGAAAGATATAATCAATAAATATACAAACCAACCAAAGCTCTTCTTTAACTATATAAACAGTAAAACTAAAAGTTGAGATCACATTAGCGTTCATACTAAGGAAGAGGAAATGTCTGAAATCCTTAACGAGAAATTTCAGTCAGTTTGTTGAGGATCCATAATTTGAAATGGCAAGTAACCGTACAAACGAACATCAGAATATCGAAAATATCACTCGAAAAAAATGAAATAAAAGACCTACTGAAAGGGTTAGACAAGACTAAAGCAGGGGAACCAGATGAGATATCTAACTATGTTCTGAGGGAATGTACCGAAGAATTATGTACCCCGTTATTGTTAATATTCCAAAATTCAATGAGACAAGGAAAACGACCAAAAGATTGGAAACTTGCCAATGTTACACCTTTATAAAAGCACGGCGACAAAGAAAATCCTCTAAATTATAGACCAGTTTCGTTAAGTAATGTAGTATGCAAACTGTTAGAAAGGATAATTAGGAAATAGAGGGTTGAAGTACTTAAAAACACGGTATCAAATAAACACTTTGGTTTGCGTAGCAAATCTTCTCTGTTTCTGTGATAGAGTTTCTGAAATATTACAAGAAAGAGACAGCTGGGTAGATTGTGTATAATTAGACTTTAAGAAGGCATTTAATAAGGAGTCTCAAAAAAGACTATTATGGAAATTAGAATACCTAGCTGGAGTGAAAAGCAAACACATCGAATGGATGGAAGACTTTCTTCATGAAAGACAGATGAGCACCGTAATTAGGAGGAAGGACTCTACATGGCGACGAGTAACTAGCGGAGCACCTCAAGTATCGGTCTTGGCGTCGATTATGTTTACTATTTTCATAAATGATTTGGGGTCAACCATAAGCCCACGTAATTATCTGAATATGTTTGCAGACGACGCGACAATGCAAAAAAAGGATAATTGACGATGTCTCAAGCCAATGTCTTCAAAGTGACATCGAGAACTTATTCATTTGGTGTTGTACATGGAAAATTAAATTTAACACCAATAAATGCCATGTAGTCAGGTTCGGAGAAAGTAAAAATCGTCCACTTTACCAATACAAGTTAGGAGACGTAATATTTAACCAAATAGATAAAGAAAAAAGACCTTGTAGTAATGTTGACGAAAACATGGTAAAAAAGAGTTATTACAGCCATCATAAGACCTAGGCTTGAGTATGGTGCATTGGTATGGAGTCCAAACTTAAAAAAAAAATATATATAGATAAACTAGAAAGAATTCAAAGAACAGACGCAAGATGGGAACTTATATTAAGAGATATGAGCTACGAAGAAAAACTACAGAAAATAGGTCTTACTACTTTGGAAGAAGGAAGAAAAAGAGGTGATATGATAATGATGTTTAACTATATTACAGGAAAGGTGGAGTTATACAAAAATGATTACAATTTTGAACACAAGAAGGACCAGAGGATACAGTAAAAAAGTTGAAAGTAAAAAAGAGGCGAGAAATATGTCAAGACGTTCAGTTTCCCAAACATTACTATTGAAACATGGAACAATCTTCCATATCACGTTGTGTGTGCCAAAAATGTGCATCAATTAAAAAAGTTATATGGTAATTCGAATATAGCAGACGCGACCATCTGAGCTTAGTTCTTCTCTCGGTAAGCACAACTATGTAAGAACATACGCACACACACACACACACACACACACACACACACACACACACACACACACACACACACACACGCACACGCACGCGCACACGCACACGCACACGCACACGCACACACGCACACACACGCACACGCACACGTACACACGCACACACACACGCACGCACGCACGCACGCACGCACGCACGCACGCACACACCGAGACTTTGCCGATATTATTTTAGTGTGTTTGTGTGTGTTTTTAAGTAATATACATTCATGTGTATATGTGCACACACACACACACACACACACACACACACACACACACACACACACACACACACACACACACACACACACACACGCACAAGTATATATGTATATATATATATCTATATATCTATATCTATATCTATATCTATATCTATATATATATATATATATATATATATATATATATATATATATATATATATATATATATATATATATATATATATATATATGCACATATACACATGAATGTATATTAATTAAAACCCTCCGCAAACACACTAAAATAATATCGGCAAAGTCTCGGAAGTTATAGAGAGCGCGCTCGTCCTTGTAAACAAACCAGACGAGAAAACTTACCGGCACTTCTGCAACACCTCTTTCGTGAGTGTTTTCAACATATATTTACTGTTGACATGAATTATAGAGCTTCTTACTGCATTTGGGAATGTTATATCTACACGTGGAGATTAGTAATGTAGATCGAAAAAGGACTCGAGACTATAATCAGTGGCTATACAATAATAAACGATTTTATTGATATTAACATAGAGGGATCTTATACCCTTTCAACACTAAAAATATTTATAAACGTAGAAAAAAATAGATACCATATGATCACAGACTCGTATAGATTATTTGTGTATGACATCACAGACAATAGTTATTTCTCTTGCTGTTTGATGTGATGAGAACAAATCTGTTGATATTGATATTTTAAAAAAACTTTCCAAATGTGACAACCAGGATTACCGTAAAATGAGTGTATGGAGTGGTTACCTTGACGAGAACTAAGACACTTTTCATCTATGGCAAAAAGTGCATGAAGATAGGGAAAAACCCAATACAGTGTCATAGAGAGAGGGAAACACTGCACTCACTGATACATGGAATCTGTGCAGGCAAAGAATTACATCAGAAATGATGGGGTTGAACTTTATAGTGGGTTTAAGGGTAATATCAAAACCTGTTGTTGGAAGATGTAGTTGCTAATTATGTTAAATTTTGATCCGATTTACATCCTGGTGATACTAACCATCCATTATATATTCATAAAATAGTTGTCTAGTTTTTTCATCAATCTGTTCATGTGATATACAATTTTTTTAGTCTTGAGAAAATATTTTATCTTCTCTTGAATATAATCTTCAGTACTAAAATTAATAAGTTTACTACTAATAGAAAATTACTCACTTTCTTTTTTTTATATAGGCTGCAGATGATATTTAATTCTGATTTTTATTTTCAGACCTGAAGCCAACATGTTAGCATTCAGTAGAACTACACTCAGCACCCTTGGCAAGCAAACTACTGCTCCCCAAAGACAGATATGGTATAGGATGGTATCTACATTCTTCCAAGCCATGCCCTCTGACAACAATGATCAGTTGTGGAACTCTTCACATTCAAGCCTAAACCCCCTGCGGCACTCAGTTTTAGGAAGGACCTCAACCATTTTACAAAGTTCTGGTTTGGTGCTCTGTCAGGTTAGGAACTATGCCAAGGGGAAGGATAAGAAAGGAAAGGGTAAGTGGAGTCGTTGCTTTAATTTGTGGTCATGTTTTTCATTTAATTTTTTTTAGCATTTAAGATATAGTAAGAGAAAAGGAATTTGAAAATAGGTCTTCTTTTTTCACGGGAAGAGTGAACTTTAAAATTTAGATGTAATAAGAGAAATGGAGTATGATTATAGGTTTAAGCAGTGCTTAATGATATCTATAGACATTTGGGGGATAGATAGATATTGATGTTGTAGGTATAATGCTTTCTGGATGTAAATAATATCATAATTGCTAACATAAATTGTAAATCATAAATCATTTGACACTTTCTTTTATTATTGCAGGAAAACAAAAAGTCCACCTTAGTGATGCAGAGATGGAGCAGGTGGTGAATGTAGAGCAAATGAGGAACCAATATACACAGACACTGGAAAACTTGAAACAGGAATACATCAAGAACCTTTCACTCAGAACAGCTGTAGGTATGTTATACTGTTTAAAGGTACTTTGGTGATGGAAAGCATGTGATCTCTTTGTTCTGTGTGTATGGAGGGATGTGTGTCAGGACCTACAGGTAAATGTTTCTCATTAAGTTTTTATAATGGCTCTAGTGATATATCAAAAGAAGGTAGAATGGCTGGAAGTGATATCAGAGTAAAAGTGATATTGTTTAAGATATGTGAAATTAAGCAAAATTGAAGGTAGTTTTTGAAAGAAAAAGTTGATATTTCATATGGCATCGAGTGTATGAAATGTGTTTTTTCTATAGTGAAATAATAGTTTTTGTTTCAATATATATCCTGTAGATTCCATATTACATTTTTCAAACATGTTAGATACTTATTTTGTAGAATGATTAATGTTAATATATAAGAAATTATATCCACTACCAAGTACTCACTGAATAATACTTTTTATAAGCTCATTGTAATTCTTATGAAATGAAGATCTTGTATAATCATATAGACTACAGAATATGTAATGCATGTTCAAAAATGATATTTCTGAGTGCATCTTTAAGAAAAAATGTTTTGTAATGATATAAAAGTAGTGATTGTACCAATAGTCTTTTTAGGAAGTATTTTTCTAGTTTGTGAACTATGCTACAGGAATAGAGTGAGGAAGTAAAGTATCAAAATTTGAAAACAGTTGTCTAATGTTTTGATCAATTTCTCATGAGTATATATAATTTTTTGGCAAGGGATCAGTGTGGTAGTGTTTTGTTATTGATAACTTGTTATTACTTATTACCCGTACTTACTATCATATGAAATTCTGCTTATATGTCATGTCTCATTATTGATAGATAATTCCATAATCATTACTTATTTATTATTACATATTACTGTCACTTATAGCTCATCAGTCTGCTTAAATACTAATGTTTTACCTTATATCAGGCAGTATAGAGACCCTTCCTGTGGAGTTGGAAGGAGACGAGTATCCCCTGAACGAAGTTGCTCAGATTTCCCGCAAGTCACCCCAGATGCTACTCATCAATGCTGCGGCCTTCCCACAAGCCCTGCCGGGGATTGTGGGTGCGATAAAGCAGTCCGGAATGAACCTCAATCCACAGCAAGAGGGAACCACGATTTATGTACCTATTCCAAAGTAGGTGTGGGTGTTTTACCTTTCCTTTTCTTCTAGATGTTGTTAGTGTTCCTTAACCTTTTTTCTTATAGTTGCTTGTGTTTGTATTCATACCTTTATTATTTATAATTTCGTAATTTTACTCTTTCTTATGTTTGTTTGCATTTTTTTATGGTCATTTATTTTAGATAAAGATTTGTGGCATGAAGAGTCCACCTTTTGAGGAGCATTTCATCAATAGCTAAAAAAAAAAAGAAGAAGAAAAAGGGAAGAAAGAAATATGGGATAATACTATATTTTTTTCAGTTATTGCTGTTGCAGGCATGTGTTTTTTCATTTCTAATTTATTTCATATTTTTTTTCATATGTTATATACTGTAGAAGGAGAGATTCCTTTTTTCTCCTTCCTTTGACAGTCACTTTTCTAATTAATTAAGTTATCAGGCATCACTAGAATGTCTGAATACTTGTCTTTTATTAGGATTATTATGCAAAGTTTCAGTTGCCAGTTGTTATATTTCTTGCTTGGCTGAGAATAAGAATTTCCTGTAGAAGTAATGTTCTCATTTATGGTTTTCGTAGGTTGAGGAAAGAAGACCAGATCAGATGATTTAGATTGGGAGTGTCATATATTAAGTGAATCGAGTATTTGATAGTATTATTCAGCCT